GAAGTTTTTAATGTGGGCTGCCACATTGCTCTTTGATGCAAAGTATAGGCCATATACAGTGCACACGCGTCCTGGAAAAAGGTAAACATTAAGAAAATAATCGATACCGATTGTCGTTTGGGCAAATCCAGACCAATGAGCTAAAATCGGAATTTCAGACTCGACCCTTTCAGATTACCGTGAAACTTTGCAAATTGTTCGCTATGGGAAATCATTAACACTCCGGATAAAAAATTTGGGGGTACCCCCAAAAAAACATACAATTTAACGTAAAATTTCCATTTTCTGTGTGAAATTTGAAAGATATTGAATGAAATTTACTTCGTAAGTATTTGGATCCATAAGTTTTGTAAAATAAAACTTCACCTAAAGTTACATTTTCCCAAATTCAAATTGAACAATCATGACTGATTTTCTCAGAATTTGGTTGGCCAAATTTTGAAATTAAAGTGGTAGTAGCACCCTTATTGTATACCCATCAAGCACCGTTCATGATTTTTTTTTATTTTGAAAATATTTTAAATAATTAAAATAGTTAATTATGTCATCGCTCGCATGTTTGGAGTCACCCTAAAAAAACTGAAAACCTCGTACGTTGATAATTTATAACTCATTGTAGAAATGACGTTGTATAGAGAAATGATAAGAAAATTATCTCATCAATACATTCAAATAGCAATCTATCTATCTGAAAAATGTTTTCAACGGCATTTATCACAGTGGAGGAAAATCGAAAGAAAAATCAGGAAAATCCTTCGCCAGGTTTATGAAAATTTTCTTATGGTTTAATACATCCTTGAATACTTCTTATCTTTCAGTGGTAATACTAACGACCGGCCATAAGATCTCCAAGAAAACTATCATTTTCTTGTTTAATGATTTTCATAAAATGCCCCATAATCGTCCATTAATTTTTCCGATAATTACTTTAAAACGGTAAAAGATACCAGAAATTTGCACCAGTAAAAGATAAGAAGTAATGTACACCGGGGTAAGTTGAAACGGTATTTTGAAACTTGAACTTTAAGGCTCTCTGGAACAGTAATTAATTTAGATACACCAGATGTTTTTACACCAACAGTTTCATGAAAGAGTTTTCGAGAAGCATATTTGTTAAGCATACAATAATAGTGTGTATTATTTCATTGTTACCCCATATAGTGGGGTTAGTTGAAACACTTATTATACAGCAGTTTAACGATGAAAATTGTAAAAAAAATCCTTAAAACACGTTTATTCATGTATAAAATAACCCTTTGAGCCATCCTCTTTTTTCAAAGTGCCCAGACCATTGGAATGATCTTTAGCGAGTATTTTCTGCAACCTAGCAGTTGCTGGAGTATTTTCAATGTTCTCACATGTATGCCTCCAGTGTATCCTCTTTGATCTCCGTATTTCCTTATTATAAGCGGTGAGGGATTTCTTATATTGTTCCCACCGTTGTGTTCGTTTAGCCCTATTGAAAAGCTTCCGGGCTTTTTTACGAAGTTTCTGTACTGTAGTGTACGGTCGGTAGTGTAATACATCCAGACAATAATCAAGGAATTACAATGAAATAAACATTAAACAAAATACTTTCAATTGTTGACAACTACTCGCATTATAAATGTAATTTATTAGCAATATGAACATATTTAGTGTTACTACAATAAGTTGACCCCAGTCTGTCTGTAAATGCATAATACATTTATGCGTTATAATAATTTGTAACAATGAAAAACATTTTAAATGATCGGATAGAGCAACAATCAATTACTCGTCATCAATCACTACTATTTCCGGTTTGTCCTCCAACCAACTGCACTGTTTTTTTGTAATAAGATTGTGACAATCATCATCCATTTTAACTTGCTCCTGTACTCATTTCATTTTACCGTATGGGGTGCAAAAATATGGGGCAATTAGTGTGACCGAAATTTTGTGTGCAATCACTCTAACTGGCCTTCATATGTACATCACTGGATTAAATTATACAAAACTCATCTTTTTGCAGAAGATAACTACTTCCAACTACTTGTTTTAACAGTAAAGAAATGCATATAGGTGCTTATGATACTGAGTAGTTTCACGCCAAATGACGAGTCGATCAGACGCGACCTTCTCCGATTTGAATGAAACTTTTCATAATTGTTTGTTATGGTCAATCATGTACATTTGAGCTAAAATTTGGCGATTTTAAATCTTGTAAAAAAAACTTCAAAATGGCGTATTCAAAACTTTTCAATGAACCATAACACGAAATCGTTACTTCCAATCAAAATGACGTCTGAGACAAAATTGTAGGAAAAAAATGCTTTTCAGAAAAAATATAAAAGATTCACCAAATTAATGTAACTTTTGGTACAAATCCATAAAAGTGTTAAAAACTTTAATCACAGAAAATGACCCTCTTCAATATTTTTGAACCATTTTTATTCAAAAGCATACTCAAGGTTCTATTGTATTGTGAAATTTTCAAGTTGAACACTTAAAAATTGAAAAAAATCATGGCACAAATTTAAGACTTGTTGTTTATATGTACAAGTTTTTGTAAGTTTTTTCACAGAAAACAATTTATTAGGTCTAAGCAATCAAATTATGTGCAACAATATACCAAAAAATCGTTTTAACAAAAAGTTAAAACATTTGACTAGAAGTTCTTGTTCTATGATATTTATCAATTTTTAAGTGTCCATTATGAAAAATTCTATTTTTTGTGAAATTTTCATGTTGGACACTTAAAAATTGATAAAAATCATAAAACAACAACTTTTATTCAAATATTTTAACTTTTTATTCAGACGATTTTTTGGTATATAGTTGAACACAATTTGATTATTTGGACCTAATAATTTTTTTCTGTAGGAAAACTTGCAGAAAGTTGTATAAACAAAAAGTTTTAAAGTTTTTCCATGATTTTTGTCAATTTTCAAGTGTTCAACTTGAAAATTTCACAAAAATAGAACTTTGAATATGCTTTTTAATAAAAACGGTTCAAAAATATTAAAAAGGGTCTTTTCTTTTATTAATGTTTTTAACACTTTTTAGATTTTTTATCAAAAGCTTCGTACACTTTTGTACCATTTATATTTTTTTCTGAAAAGCATTTATTTCTTCCTACAACATTGTCTCAGATGTCATTTCGATTTGTTGTGGCGTTTTCGTGGATTTATTGAAATATTTTGAATACGCCATTTTTAAACTTTTTGCATGATTCAAAATGGCTTCGTTTTAGCTGAAATGTGAATGATTTACCATACAAGGCAACTATTTATATAAAGTTTCATGCAAATCGGAGAAGGTCGAGTTTGAAAATCTTTTTTTATTTGCTATTTGGTCTGGAACTGCTCTGTTCAATCACAGTGATATCACACTTCCGCTAATAGTTACGCCTTCCTTTTCAACTTACCCCGGTGTATCTTATTCAAGCATAAAAAATGATAAGAAAAAATGTTTCACCCTGGCAATGATTTTCCGGATTCTTCATGCGGGTTTTTCGTGGATTGCTGAGATGATTTACTTATGCCACGGATACACTTGTATGAGAATCTATGAGCATAAGCATTATTTGTATAATAATTATGAGCACTTAGCATAAACTAGTAATCCTATCCTATATATACCGCCGGCCTTCAACCGTTTGCACTAAGTGAAATGGAATCCTTTTAGATGAATTGGAACAGCATTTCGCTGCTGACCTTATATTTTATTCTAACTGCATAATACTCCAGATAGTGGTCATTTGAATTTCATAGACTTAACAACTAATCAATAATCCAAAAAGGCCAATAATTCTGTCAGCTTCGCATCCTGATTTATCCAAAACTGAATTTAGGCACACCACATTTTATGCAATTCAACTGTTTATTCCTGTGGGTTATGTTTCATCATAATGTTCAATGATTGGGATATTTTGTGGTTTTGTTCTTGATCTCTTAATGAAAATGTTCTATTCGGAATAAATTTGTAGATGGAAGCATCACAATAGTAAGCGGCTAAATACATAAAAAAAACTGTTCTAATAAAACCACGTAGACAGGACCTTCACCCCTCCCCTCCCCCCGTAGACAAACGTAGACATTTTTGGAACAACTCCCTCCCCCCCAAGTGTCTACGTAGTTTATGGACAGCCCCTAATGGATAACTCATTTCTGCTATAAATTCAAATGGGACTGTTATGCTTTTATGGGCCTCTTCAGGATGAAGGAAATTTGCAACAGGCTAAGTACAAACCGCATTAAAGTTAAATGAAATACTTACAAGTAATTTTGACGAATACCAATTCGGCAACAGCTGTTGTCTGCCGCTAGATAACGTCTTGCAATCTCGCCGACCAACTCAGAGCTATTCCAGACTTGTATAATATTTCAAACAGGCACTTTGCCAGCCAACGATAAGATAACCGCACAAAGAAACAATAATAATAAACCAACTGCACACGAATTCCGTAAAAACCAGCATTTTTCTCATTGTTGTTGTTGTTTTGTTCCATATTTAGAAGATTGTAGTCGCCTAGATGATAATAAAATGCACGGACGTCATCACCGCCAAAGAAGGGAGTCACAAGTCAAGTTTAATTAAATTTTTCGAAATTCTATATTTCACTGCTTCTCTTCTTCCATACAAATAAATATTCGTTTTTTTGTTGTTGTTGGATAATCTGTTTTACTTCTGAAGTAGAGGCTACCAGTTAATAGAATTTTGTTTTGTTTTGTCATTTTTGATATAATTTTTCCAATTGTCACCCGAAATATTATCATCAAATTTTGTATTTTCTTTATTTGCTTTTGGATTGCCAAACAGTTTTAAAACAAGCTACGCATTGAACTACATTTACATGATTTTGTTCCACCTTTCTAGTGGAATTTTGTAGTTTGCACCAATGGATACTTCTAGTTTTTTTTTTTGTTTTGTTTTCTGTAACACTTTTTGTTTCTATTTCTTAAAAGTTTCGATAGGAGAAATTTTGGGAAAATAACTTGTTGCGATTTACATTCTTTTTTTCTTCTAATCATTTACAGGACCGTAGGCGAGGGGAAAACCGGATGGCTATACGCGTTAACGTTTGTGTCATTTGTTAATTATTTTCAAAAACGGGAGAAAGTAACAAAACCAACTCACTATTTACTTCCGCAACTCCTACAGCTTGGTTTACACATCGTCAAGTTTCACTAGAAAAAAAATGTACAACTTTCTTACATGATCGAGCAATAAATATCGCTTTGTTTTTGGATTTTCTTTTTGTTTTTTTATTTTTTTTTATTTTGTTTGTTTGTCCTAAGTGGTTACATAGATGACTTTTGTGTGTGAATTTCCTTCTTTTTTCAATTTGTTTCTGTTGGTGACATTCCGTTTTCGACTTTGGAAAGGTTTCATAGAATTTTCATTTTCATCATTAGAGACAGGATTATTTTTTCAATAGCTACAATCAGTAAGGTAAGTTCAGGTCTTTGAGATTCGATTTGTATGCATTCATGATTGACGTTAGTTGTTCGACGCACTTAGAAGTATGTATATTTGAGCGACAAAACCCGTTCCCATAACAAAGCTACTAAAAATCAAATAAAACTAACAGCAAAAATTTGAGAAAAGAAATCTGTTTCAAGAGGAGGTTTCAATTAACAAAACATATCCAAATAAATTGGAATTTAGCAAACCGAGATCATAGTTTGCATTTCTCTTGAGGTTGAAATTGAACCTTTTTGTTTGAGAAACCACTTCAAAGTCCATAGTTGCAATTTACCCACCATCACTGCGGAAACTCCGCTGAACGAGACAGTGTGGTCGCCACAGTTGCTCGGTATAGTAAAGAAGGAGAAGAGAAAAAAAAAACCGCCGTCATCGTCGAATAGTCCTAAGGCCAGGACATCGACTGGTTTGGCGGTGATGAGCATCATCTTAATTAGACTGATGCATACTTTGCAGTTTAAAGACATACTGTTTGACTGCAGATGGTTTGGCTTGCCCGTTTTCCATGTATTTTGGATGATTTTAGGTTATTTCAGGTATTACATTTGATAACGGCACAAAAGCATTTGTAAACAAACTTTCTAAGGCCCTTTACACGCGAACCAAAGTACGCCCACGCAAACCAAATACAATATCGGATAGGGGCAACTATCACCTTTCCGAAAGTGGCATTGGTTTGCGTGGGCGTACTTTGGTTCGCGTGTAAAGGACCTTAGAAAGTTTGTTTACAAATGCTCTTGTGCCGTTATCAAATGTTATGCCTGATTTGACCTAAATTCGCTTGGGAAAAGGGTCATTTGGCATAATGCATAACATTTTGAATTAAGGGGGTATTCCCGATCTTTTTTTTTCAAAAAATCAAATTTTTTTTTTCACGTTTTTTTGTCTTTAGACTATATACTTTCATCCCCCCAAGCCGTTTTCTGATCAGCGAATTCGGTGTCCAGGCATAGCTGACTAATGGTAAGAACCCCCAAATGGTTTTAACTAAAGTCAAAACTTTAAACGCGTTTTTCTCGAAACCACATTTTTTTTATCGGGCGAAGATTTTTCTCAGAAACTATAAGAGATATTGACTTGAATCTTTGCGCATTTTGTTCCTTATTAAATTCTTTGGAGCTTCTCCCACTTTCAGCCAAAAATATTAACATTTAACATTGTTTGAAGCACCTTAAATCTGCAAAAAAGCGGGCTAAAAATCGCCTGTTTTTTCAAATGGCCGCCATTTTGTTAATTTGCAAGATTTTTTGCTGCCAACAGGAGAAGCTCCAGAGAATCTTATGCAGATTATTAATTTCATCACGAAATCTGATTCAGATGAAGCCGTTTCAGAGAAAAGTCTTCGCCCGTCCAGGCGTTTGCGGCGAACAGGGGTCTGTTTGCCGCCACTTTGTGACGTCAATAATGTCTTTTTTTATGTCGAAAAAAATTTATTTGTAAACTTTAATGTTCAATAAACAAGAATCCCAAAGAGTTAGGCGCATTACTATGCATTTTCCTTGAAAAAAAAAATAATTGAAAAACAGGCCGAAAAAAGGCAAAAGATTGGGAATACCCCCTTAAAACAAAGAGTAAAGTTGTTTTCATTTTTTAAGACATTAGCAGTTATATCGAGTTTTACTGTTCTTGATTGTGTGAGTCAATAGGTATGTTAACATGTTAACAGCAAGGTTGCAAAGACTCATTTCAGCTAAAACAATGTTTTTCTAAATTATGAAATAATTAGATGCCATAATCAAATTTTGAATTGGTAGGATACAAGAAGAGGTTGCAAAGAATGTGTTTGACATATTAAACCTGTTTATTTCACTTCATGAGAGTCACAATCAGCGATTTTTCACAAACTCACTCACTCACTCACTCAGCGATCAGCAAATCGCTGATTGTGACTCATAGAAAGCAAAATTTACAGGTTTTATGTTTCCAACGCATACTTTGTAACCTCTTCTTGTAAGTTACAAGTAAAACATGCCATCATACCATCTTTTGGTTTTATTATTCCGAAAAACATTATTTTAGCTGAAATAAGTCTTTGCAACCTTGGTTAACAGTGTTTGTTTTTTTATCATTTCCCATCACACGCAACGAGTAGCGCTTCAACCCAGTGTAGTTTTGAATATCTTCGCTGTGAAGTACGAGCGAAACTAATAAATGAGTTCATTATACATCAACGAATACGCGTTTGTTGATATTCACCACTGCTTGATTATCCAACCCGAAAATGTCAAAATCAGAAGCGATCCTCAAAAGCAAAACAATCAAATTCATTTTGGGCAAGATGATTATTTTGAATATTGTCGACTCCAGAGTCTAAAACTTCGATATTATCATCATTTCAGCTCGAGGCAATAATTTTCAAATTCAATCTATGTTTAAAAACCAGCACTATATTTGAGTGATATGAAAATAATCATTATGTATTTGATCCTCAAAATCATCCCCACCAAGATGAAGGTGATTATTGATATTGACTACAACACAGGCGATAATAAACAGCCAGCCACGAATTAACAAAAACAAATGTTGACTTCGATACTCAGAGGTTGCCTTGATCAAGAGAATGTGTAAATGTCAAAATTCAAATTCATGCACGTAGCTGGTCTATCTCTTAAGGTTGCATTAATTTTCAGCTAAGTTGATTGTAGAAGGAATTATTTTTATCAGCATTGCATGTTAACGTATTATGCCACACGACCATTATGCCAAACGACCTTATGCCAAACGTGGCACAATCATTTTGGATGGAAACTACGGTGGTTTTTCGGTATTTTCGTTACTGGCAGTATTTTTGATTTAAAATCAAATTTAAAAAATCGTCAACATTCAAATGTGTTTCAAAGTGAGTGTGAGTGTTCGCGCCAGCGGCCTAAATGCCCCTAATTTGGGCCCATACATAATACATACCCCTATCACACATTTTTTTAGTCTCAAGATGGTCAAACAATTTTTCAACGTTAAACATTTCTTATGCGATACTCTTTCGACTAATTACCTTCCTGTTTTTGGCTACCCAGGAATCCAGAAACAGCTGATGGCCTATCCCGGTAATTGCTGGGAATACTTCTATTCAGTGAACAAATAGGTCCACTAAAATTTTAACTTTCTGAAGTTTATTCCATCCTTCCCCTGGAATTTCTTCCACCTTACCCCGTAAGTTATTTTCCAAATCCTCCCAGAAGTTGTTCCGATTTTCCTTGGAAGCTTCGTCTGACTTCGCTCAAAAAGTTCTTCCATCTTCTCCTGCCAGTTTTTATTCAAATTCCTTGGAACACCAGGGATGCATCCTGAAGTTTATTTCGGTTCTAATGACTGCAGGTATTTTTAGAAGTTTTTAAAATTAAGAAACGTTCAGACTTTTGGGTATCTGTGAGGGTAAGTTAAATTAAAGACAGTTTCATTAACTTCTGTTAAAATTCGAGAAGCCTGTAATTTCAGGAAAGTCAAGAGAACTCCAGTGAACTTTTCACATAGATTAAGACTATTTGTTTCCTTGTTTCAAGATTCACTATCAACAAGGCATAAAAAGTAACAAGGACTAAGATGTGTTCCTTTGATTACTGAAAAATCCTGTTCCCCAAGTTTGAAGGAGTCAGGACTAGGAATCGGTGATAGATCTTACATCCCGTAACGTACCACGAAAAGGTGATCTACCCACGTTACGGGGCTCCAGTGAACTTACGGACGCATCAGAAACATTTCGGAAACTTCGCAAGTCCAAAGAACTTCAAGGAAATTTAATGGTTCTCAGGACAGTTCCATTTGATTCAGAGGAATGCGAAGAACTTTTGGGAAGTTCTGGTAACATCAGGCCAGATCAATTAGTTTTAAGAAAATTGCTGAAACTTTGAAAAAGTTCCGAGAAACTCAAGGAACTTCCGAAAATTTCAGCAAAGTTCCGAGAGGTTCATACATATTTTAGTACCGTTAGGAAAATTGCATATGCATCAGATAATTGCGACAACAGTTTAAGGTAAGTTCCGTGCTTTTCAATTCCATTTTCTAGAACTTTTAAAAATTGGAAAGATCAAGGAACCTTAATGCTGATGTTCGATTAATTCCAAAAATATTGTGAGAGCTCTTAAGAAATTCCGAAATTTCCAAGAAAGCCCAAAGACATTCAAAGAAGATTAGAGATTTTCTGGTAGTTCCGAGAGCTTCAAAACAGCCCCATTAACGTCAGGCAAATTGCAGGAACTTTCAAGGAGTTCCGAGGAATTATGGGATATTCCCAAGTGCATTTCACGAATGTTCCGAAAACTTCAGGGATCTTGTGGGGTCTTTAGGGATGGTTTTTGAATTTCAGGAAATTATCTGGATCATTAGAACATGTAAGGGAATTCAGATAATATAAGCACAATATTCCCTGAATTAATTACATGTTCTCTATCGAATCAGGATCTAGAAAATTTCCTGAAATTAAAAAAATACATGCCATAAATACAATTCAAAATATCCTATAATTCCTCGGACCTCCTTGAAAGTTCCTGCAATTTTCCTGACGTTAATGGGGCCCAGAAATCTCTTTCATCCGAATTTTTTTCCCCCCTTCCAGCGTCTCTAGGAAGTTTCCTCTGTCTTCGCCAGGAAGTTCTATTAATCATCTAATCCAATTCTCCCACAAGTTTTTTTCGACTTCTATTGGAAAAATTTCCGAACTTCTTCTGGCTTCCCCTGAAATTTGCTTCCAATGTCCGAACCTTTCTGGGTTCTTCTGGATGTGCCATTCTATTTCTTTAATTTTTCGCCAGAAGGTAATCAGTATTTGTCTTGGAAGTTCCTCGGATGCTTTTCTGACGTTTCTTACAACTTTCTTCAACCTTCCTCCAGAAGAGCTTTTTTATTCACTCTAAGGAAGTTTTTTCGGCTTCCTTCAGAAGCTAATTCAGAAACTAAATTCCTCGGAAATGTATTTTGACTAAAGTAGTAAATTTTCCGTTCTTAGTCAAAAAGTTTGATTTTTCACCTTCAGAAACGACAGAAATATAAAATTAATTAAAATAGTAAATACCCATTTTTTTTTAATTTGGTGCCGATAGGCATGCACATAATCTGGGCAACGCTGGTTCGCTCAAGCGACATTTCCACCACTATATTTTTACTGTTTCTCTGTAATGTGATGTCTCTGTAACATGAATCCAATAAATACACGATAGAAGCAATGAAATTGGGTTGTTAGCGGAATGCTTAAATAAAACAGCAAACTAAGCATTTTTAATTCCAATCAATTAATTTTGGTATCGATGACAGATACGTATTTCGACTAAAATGTGCAGTCTTCATCAGTGTCAATCCCACTAAAGACTTATCAAAAACCTAACCCCCTTAAGTACTCATCCCCTAGGTAAAAATGACAAGATCACAGGTATAAAAATGAAACTACCACGTGTGGAATCGGAACCTACCTAACTAATAATAACCAAAGATTTAAGTAAAATAAAAGAGAAAAATCTATTCAAATCTCTAATAAGGAATAAATCCCAAACCCAAGCAGAATAAAATACCTTATGGATAACAAATGCAGGTATGAAAATAGAATAACTGGCAACCTAAATCTCGATGAACATTTCAAATGGTCCTACCTGTTTTGATCGATTCTCTTCATCGACTTTCTCTTTTCATAACCACTGCTATACAAACAGATTTCGCGCTAATTCTACCACATAGTTTGATAAAGGAGGTTCTTATCTAGCGTCCAAAACGTTAAATACAACAGGGAAAGGTTTTGCAGCTGAGTTATTGGCGAAAGAGAAAGTCGATGAAGAGAATCGATCAATGCAGATAGGACCTTTTGAAATGTTTATCTAGAATATGGTATTGACGAGGCTGACATAAGAAGCAAAATACCAAAAATAATACCTCAAAAATGTTCTACGAATAAAGAACTAATAATTAATTTAGTTATTATAATTACGGACGGATAACCCGAGCAGAAAAAAATAACTTATTAATACCAAATTCAGGTATGAAAATAGCATAACTGGCAACCTAAATATGGTATTAGTGAGGCTGACATAAGAGGTAAAATACCAAAAATAATACCACAAAAATGTTCTACGAATAACGAACTAATAAATAATTTTGTTAGTACAATAACAAACGGATAATAGACGCTGATCATATTTTGTTATTTTGGTATTCATTTGAATTTTACAAAATATTTCGATTACTGAATATTATCAACAATCAATACGAAACTATCGATTTAAAATTGGCTCACTACTTGACTAGTCTATTGGTCCCAAGCAAATCGATTCACACCATTCTAGTCGAAATTCTAGTACTATACACAGAAATTCAAAACAACCCAAAATTAAATTCTTTTCACTCATCTCCCATGTTCCGTACGATAAGCCAAATTTGGGTAAACCGGCTCAAAGTAGTTTGCATTTAGGCACGGCAAAAAAAATTACCCATCGCTAAGTTATTTTCAATTTTTTCTACCCAAAATTAAGTTCAATTAACTCAAATTTGGGTATATCGCATATTACTCAATTTTGGCTTCTCGTACGGAACTAGACGGTTGAGTCGAATCTTTCGTTCTATTTTTGACAACAATAGCGAGAGAAAATGAAACGGGCTGAGGTCAAATAACTTTAATTTGAGTTTAAAAAACCCAAGCGGTAGGTAGTTTTGTTTTTCTGTGTACTATGTTTGTTTTGATTCGCTATGAAAGTTTGACAGATAAAATGAGGGGTTCGTGGATTTTTCTATGTTTCGAGGGGTACATCGATTAGCTTGGGACCGAAGATAGTACAAGAGCTGAGCCAAAAAGTTGACCACGTTTCTTCGGGACCTTCTGGTCTTAGAGTAACCTCTATGATAATATCAAAACAAGGTTTTATACCACAAGCATACCGAAATCTGGTATCATACCACATTAAGATGTTCATTTGTTTTCGGTTAGCTATCGGTTCCTGCTCGGGAAGGCTTGGTAGCCATCATAATGAAGAATTGAAATTGGGTTATTAGCGTAACCCCTCATGTTATCTGCCAAACTTTCATATCGAATCAAAACAAACATAGTGTAGTACTAGAATTTCGACTAGAATGGGGTACGCTTATAGATGTACTTTGGACCAATAGGCTAGTCAAGTAGTGAGCCAATTTAAAATCATTAGTTTCCACCGGTCGGTAAAACCGAGTTAAGCTAGGTGCCATGCGTGGGAGAAGAAATAAACGCATGCAGTTTTCCATTTTTGGATTAACTATCGGGACCTAAGCTACGTGCTTACGCCAGCGCATATGAGGGGCGTAGGAAAATCATAGAAGTAGAATCAACAATCAATACGAAACTAACGATTTTAAATTGGCTCACTACTTGACTAGCCTATTGGTCCCAAGCAAACGATTAACGTATCCCATTCTAGTCGAAATTCTAGTACTACGCACTGTTTGTTTTGATTTGCTATGAAAGTTTGACAGATAAAATGAGGGGTTATTGGTTTTTCCTATGTTTCGAGGGGTGAATCGATTAGCTTGGGACCGAAGAGAGTACCAGAGCTGAGCCAAACAGTAGAGAACGTTATTTCGGGAGCTTCTAGTCTTAGAGTTACCTCCATGGTAGAATGATTTTATTCTAGAATTATTTTAATGTTTCTCGGTCGCCCTTGCAGGCAAACTCCTTGCGGGATACAGGGGAAATGGATGTAATGTCGGCCTAAATGCCCCTAATTTGGGCCCATACATAAATTCAGCAATCGACTAAATTTTCAATAGCGGCCAAAAATATCCATTACTACCGCCCAATGACACGTTCATCTAGATAAAATTGATAAATAGCAGATTTTTAGCGTTGAGCCTAATCTTAGATCCATGGGCCAACATAAGAGCTATGTATGTGGAATCCCCAATCGTCATGAAATCCAAAAATAAAAGTAGTAATTATCAATTATTAAAAAGTAAAGTACCATAATTTCGTTCACCTAGGTCCCTAATTTCGCGCATTTTTTGAAAAATTAAAAAACAAAATTATTAATCAGGATATTTTTGAATTGAGCTAGGAATTTAGATACGTTTAATTCGCCAGCGGATGGGAAAAATATAAATTTAGAAAATATCACAATATATGGGAAATGTATGTAATGTCGGCCTGAGTGTCCCTAATTTGGGCCCATACAAAAATTCAGCAATCGACTAAATTTTCAATGGCGACCAAAAACATCCATTAGTACCGTCCCAATGACGTGTTCATCTAGATACAATTGATAAATAACAGATTTTTAGCGATGGGCCCAATCTTAGATCCATAGGCCAACATTAGAGCCATTTCCTCTACTACAAATTTTCGATAAAATTGCGCGGAGTTAGGCGACGCGTGAAATTATGGCACTTCACTGTTGCATGTACCACCTATAAAATGATACTTTTATTGAAACTAAACTAAGAACTGATCACAGTTTGTAAACAAACCGTACTGCTGACTTAAAGATTTTATAGGTTAATTGTAACTTCACAGTTCAATTCCTAATACCATCTTAGGCTGCCCGGTTGAGCTCAAATTTTCAGAATTGCCTACTCAATTTCTACAGAACAACAAATTGTAACAACAACCATTGCACTACGACATCATACCTTGGAAATTATAATTTACCACCTAAGTAACCACTTACCGTTATCGTCCACTATTTTCAGTGTAGCTTAGAGCTATCAGCGAGCGAATACTTACGGTTTTAACGGCTATGATAAAAGTGATGCGAATTAATAGGGGGCGCATCAGTGAGGCATAGAATTGAGAAAACTGCACCCTTATTGAACACACAAACACACGGAAAGAAACATCTACTCGCTCTACTTAATCTGAATACCATAGCACCTTATATCACCCACTTTGCAACGTTACTAAACGCAGTGCGTACAGATATTGAACTCCCCAAGATTCACAGAAAAAGACGAAAATCAAACGAAAACGATACGGCAGTCGAAAACGCACATCACTCCGGTCGAGGAATTTTCTTCTAAAATTAACTGTTTGCTTTTGTTTGTAATTTTTCTTTTTTCCTTTCATATTAAATATATAGTTTATATATGTACTTGGATGAAAAAATGCTTTAGTATCACAATATTTCACAAAAAACGGGTGTTTCCTCGTTCCGACAAAACACACTTTTACCGAAGGGCGACACAACCGCTGCTGCTGATCGTGGCCGCCTTGCATCCAAAGTCCTGCTGGAAGAGCCGCACAGCTGCTACTCAAAGTTCGGAGAATGAGACAGAGAGAGAGAGACTAAGGACACACGTGCACCGTCGCGGCACGTGCTTGTAGGTATTACGTAGTATGCACTTAGAATACAAGGAAGAACCAACGGTGTAGTACTAGAGATCGATTCTGCTCACTCTCACCCTCAGTGTTCTTGGCAGATTTCGGTCAGGATTCGCTTCAAGCTATCCAGGCCCCGAAGGAATCCACTGTCTGGACCATGGTGCACCTTGGTATTTGCGCTACACATCGAGGATCCGTTCTTGATCTCGAATGTGGTGTGTGCGAAATCGATCATTCGCACATCTGCCATTCCTAGCGTGCTGGATCCTGCACTGGCTCCACTGATCGAAGTTGACTTCGACTTGGCGCTAAGCTTTCGTCGGAGAGTCTGTTGTACCTTGGACGCTGCACGACTGCCGATGGTTTCTTTTTCTTTGCCGCGGTGCCGTTTTGAGCTGACGGTTGTTTCCTGAAGCAGATGGCCCTCATCGTCCTCGTCTTCGTCGTCATCATCTACGGCGCCTTCCTCTTCGTCATCATCGAGATCATCCACTTCATCCTCGTGATAACCAGCATCGGACTGGTCGTATGCCTTACCACAACTACTGCTACTATTGTTATTGGTATTACTAATATTAATACTGCCACAACAATGCGTGTCCGACGGCGACGCCGTAGTGGTGGTCGTCGTCGCCGTCGTGGTTATTGCAATAGGTGGGACCGTCGTGAGAGATGAAGACCGCTCACGATCTCGCTCCATGGTCTCGACGCTACTTAGCTTTCGGCTCGGTGGAACAACCCGTCCGCTGAATCCTCCGTCAAAGTCCGAACTGGCGTCGGCTTCAGTATTTTGTACATGAGACGGCACCACAAAGGCCGAAGAATAATCATCGCTGCTGCTATTGCTACTGTAGTTCATCCACGAATCCATCGAATGTGGACTGGAGCTGGTCACGTTCTGTGTCGTTCCCATCGGTACGTTCATTGTTACGTCACATACACCGGGATATATCGTTTCCTCGGAGATGGGAACGAAGGGAGTTTTAGCCTTGTTGCCAGTGGTGCCGCTAACAGAGGACGAACTTCCTCCGCTTGAAACTCCACTGGTGGACGTCGCCGACGGAGGTGAACAGGATGAAGCAGCTTTGGCTGCCGTTGCAACCGTAGCCATCGAGGCATTCAATCGCTGATGAGCCGATGTGGACGAAGACGACATATCCAGCTGGTCGTCGTGTGACGAAGAATGATTGAACTGCTCGATCGAACTGTTCGAAGCGTCCGCATCGTAGCAGTAGGAGTTGGATTCGGTTTCGAGCAGGTGGTATTCGGGCTCGGATGGGAAGCTACTACTGGCCGGGGTGGCCGGAGGTTCCTCGTAGCCTTCGTACACGATGAGCAGGGAGCTGGTCGGGAAGAGAAGAGATACATTTGTTTGTGAGAGATTTCTCAAACCGGTTTAAGGAAACATCTATAATAGATCTATGTATGAAGTGTCCCTTACCAGGAATAGAAACGATAGCTGGACTGCTTCTCGATGACCCGCCTCATCTGCTCGAGTTTATCGAGCACTCTGGCGATCACCTTCACACGTAATCGGAACCCATTGTGGAAAAAGTTGTGCAGCGCTTCCTTGAAGCCCTCCTCGTTCAGTTCCCGGCCCCAGTATTTGTCCTTCTTCATGTAGTGATCGATATCCGCCTGGTACACCTGCATACCGCACAGACGTACCCCGAGCGATGCCGACGTACTAGCGGCACATTTGGCCATCTGCTTGCTACGTTTCTCCGCCGAGGCATCGTCCCCGTGCTGGCGAGTACCCATCTTCAGATCCAGAATACACGGCTGTCGATAACAGGACGTGATGTTTTCCAGCATTAGGAAATCTGCGGAGGAATAAGAAAAAAGAAGAAGCGATATTCGCCTATTAGCATTTCCAATTTCCACCGCATTCAGGTTATGCTAAATGAAAGAGACAAGAGTCACACATTTCTTCGCCAATGCCTGGGATGGTGATGCTCGCGCGCATGGATGATGATAATGGACGGCCACACATACGACACTCAGTGGTACGCGGTGGTTCTTATGAGCGGTGATCCAAGGAAATCAAAATCCGGCCTGCAAATAGCGATCCAGCCACCATTATGGACCGTGTGGGAGAGGAACAACAAATATAAACAAACCGAAACCGGTAGTGAAACCAGTTCCATGATTGTCAACATTTGGATTTCAAATTAAGACTAATAGAAATGATAAGAATGAATAAAATACGGACTAAACAGAAGAAGAAAAAAAGCAGGATGTAGAGCAGACATAGCGAACGAACGGACAAAGATGAGCGACCCGTTTGCTGATTGCTAATAGGTATACTAAATGTTAATATTAATTAGGCATGTTTGTTGGAAGGCGATGTGCATTCGGCGCTTGTGGGCTCTCCAATCCGTGCGATACTAACATTGTTTGTTGGAGTTGTCAATCTGTGAAATACTTTTTAACACTTCTGAAGGTATGCCATTCTTATGAATTTTCATCCTGAAAGTAGAAGAAAGAGAAATAAGGGAAAAAGTCTCTGATTAGTACTAGATTGGGCAGCTTTTCAATCTGATATGAGCTTCTTAATAAAAAAAATGAGATTATTATTATTTTTGGACTAGAGTAGAGTAGAGGGCAAATATGATCAATCACGCAAAAAGGCAAACTATGGGACTCTTTCGCTGTTCAATCTAGGAATGAGAGGAACAGACACAGGTATTTGTGGTTGTTGTTGTTGATAGGTAAGTAACAATTTACCATATGTTCACAGATCACTGGCCAGAAGAGAACAAGTGTACGTTCCGCGTGACCCTCAGAGAGTCAGATGGCAGCGAATCACGACAGCCGAGCACATGCCGAGCGGGCGATCTGCTGAAGCTCGAGATTACACTCGCACACTTCTATTGTGTCAGAGAGGCGGCTTGCAACATTCACAACAAGTCACAGGCGGTCTGTCTTGTCTACGTGTGTATGTGAGTGATTGTAGATTGGTCTGCATGTCGCGCACACACACACGGGGCCAATGGTGTGGGACAGACACAACAGTAAGCTGCAATTTGGATTACAAAACACAATGGTAATGGCCAAGGGAAATGGGTTTCCGAATACAGACGGCAGGACACTTACCGTAGTACTTCCTCGCGTTTGCGCTTCGAAGCGGCCATTTTGCGGCCCGGATCGTCCCGGAAGCTCGGCGAGTAGCGTTTCTCCAGCTTGGTACCGCCCATCGTGGTGGCTTGCATGACACCTGGAATAAGAACGGGAGAAAGGGCACATTTTTAGCACGGGGTTTTGATTTTTCGTTATTGTTTGAATACATCACAGCAAAAAAAATAATTTTAATATTACATCCAAGAGGATGCACTTCAATCATGTCAAAAATGTCATGAAATTTTTATGGCCGCAAAAAACTAAACAAATGCAGTAAAAGCAGCGTAATGTTAGTCAGGGTGGCAAGTGAATTTCCATTTAGAAATTCCTGGTTTTCCTGGTAAACAACGCTGGTTTAATAACTCTTATTATTGAAAAGACTCACTGCTGAAACTCCCTTAAGTTCGTAGAGCTTCCCTGAAGCGTTAAGGTCTTTCCTGAAGGGTTCATTGAAGTTTTGAAGTTTGAATTGCCTTAATTTCATGGAACTTCCTCGAAGTTCGAATGACTTTTTTTTTAAGATTTTAGAACTTCCCTGAAGTTTGGAGTTTTTTTTTAAATTTATAGGAATTTCTTAAATATTGTAGAAGTACCACGAAGTTCGTAGAAATTTTCAGCAGTTCGTAAGACTTCCTTCAAGTCCGAAGAACTTTCTCGAAGATCTGAGGACTTCCCTGAAGTTTGAAGGATTTAACTGAATATATAAGGACCCTAAATTTAGAAGAGCTTTCCTGAAGTTCATAAGGCTTTAAATATCGAAGGGTTTTCCAAAAGTTTGTGGGTCTTTCCTTAATTTCTTGGAAATTCCCTGAAGTTTGGAGAGCTCCCATGAATTTCGTAGGACTACCTGTAGTTCAATCGACTTCTCGGAAGTTCTAGGAACATTTTTGAGCTTCGAGAACTATGTTAAGTTCAGAGGACTTCCCAGAGTATTGAAGACTTCTCTGAAGATCGGAAAAAATCCATAAGTATAATCCTATGATCCTTAAGTCTTAAGTTTTAAGCAATGCATAAATGTCGTAGAAGTTACATTAAATCTGCAGAAAATTCTGAACTTCCCTGAAGTTCGTAAGACTTCTCTGAAATTTGTAGAACTTCTCTGAAGGTTCGGAGAGATTTCCTGACCGTCGTAGGTCATCACAGTAGTTCACAGGATTTCCCTGAAACTTGTAAGACTTTCTCGAATTTTATAGAACTTGCATGAAGTTCGAAGGCCTTATCTGAAGTATTTAGAAATAAAACTTTTTATTGAACATTATGAACAGGTACTTCAAAGTATTTACGCGTCGGCACTGCTTAAGTCTGCTATCAATTAAGCACAAATCATACATGCAATTGATTCGAGAAAAAATAAATAAATTAAAAATAAATACAAAATATATTTACTAAATTCTCAGGGTAAAATTTTTTTCATCAATGTTCAGTTGTGTGAAAGATTTAGCTTGAACAAAATGCTTAGTTTTGACCAGATTATAAAAAGAAACTTTGACATACATAAAATTTATAAACCCTATTTAAATTATACAAACAAGATTATTTTCCTGGTGGACTTATGAAATTCCTGGTTTTTTCTCGGTTTTTCCTGGTGAACATAAATTCCCGACTTTTTCCCGGTTTTCCTGGTTCACTTGCTGCTGTTAGTTCATGCACTGTCAAAATCAAAAGAAATCAATTGAAGGGACCACTTTGTATTAGACAAGAACTGAGGACCACTTCAATGGTGGTCGATAGTCGTGAAGATTAATTCGCACTCGCGATGATTGATATACTTCTGCATTCAGTCTATTTTTCAAGATGCTTGACTAATAAAATTAAGCAGAGTGACAGTAGCGAGCGAAAAAAGAATGCGCGAGCATAGAGCACACTTCGATTAGACTAGATTTTCTAAGGAGCCCAAACACAGTAGGTGCCTTTAGAGCAACAGATGCAGCTTGCTTAGACCTTTTACAAACATACAAAGTACACTGTTGAACCATAGAGGTAACTCTAAGACTAGAAGGTCCCGAAGAAAAGTGCTCAACTTTTTGGCTCAGCTCTGGTACTCTCTTCGAACACAAGCTAATCAATTCACCCCTCGAAACATAGGAAAATCCACTAACCCCTCTTTTTATCTGTCAAACTTTCATAGCGAATCAAAACAAACATTGTGTAGTACTAGAATTTCGACTAGAATGGAGTACGTTAATCGTTTGCTTGGGACCAATAGGCTAGTCCAGTGGCGTCGCGTAACCTCACTTTTTACCTGTTCAACAACTTTGAAAACGTTATTTAGGGTCATGTTTACATTCAAATCAGTTTCAAAAGGCATCGGGTCTTCTAGTTTCACTGATGTTTATCCATTGGAACCAATATTGTTTTGTTTGTTTACGTATTGAGAGTTGTTGAACAGGTAGATTGAGGTTAGGGCGACGCCACTGGGCTAGTCAAGTAGTGAACCAATTTAAAATCGTTAGTTTCCACCGGTTAGTTGTACCAACAATCAATACGAAACTATCGATTTTAAATTGACTCACCACTTGACTAGCCTATTGGTCCCAAGCAAATCGATTAACGTGCCCCATTCTAGTATAAATTCCAGTACTACTCTATGTTTGTTTTGATTCGCTATGAAAGTTTGACAGATAAAATGAGGGGTTAGTGGATTTACCTATGTTTCGAGGGGTGAATCGATTAGCTAGGGACCGAAGATAGTACCAGAGCTGAGCCAAAAAGTTGAGCTCGTTTCTTCGGGACCTTCTGGTCTTAGAGTTACCTCTATGGTTGTACCAACAATCAATACGAAACTAACGATTTTAAATTGGCTCACCACTTTAGTAGCCTATTGGTCCCAAGCAAACGATTAACGTACCCTATTCTAGTTGAAATTCTATTACTACACTATGTTTGTTTTGATTCACTATGAAAGTTTGACAGATAACATCAGGGGTGTGTGGATTCATGCAGAACATGCAGGGGTGAGTGAAATAGCTTGGGACTGCTTGGGACCGTTGTTCTGGTACTGAGTGAGCCAAAAATAATAATGATTTTCTTCGGGACCCAGTGGTCTTAGAGTTACCTCTATGGTTGTACTACCGTTGTACTGCTTGAAGTTAGTACCTCAAATTGTATGTTTTGAGGTACTAGATTAAAAGAGTACAACCAACCGGTGGAAACTAACGATTTTAAATTGGCTCAATACTTGACTAGCCTATTGGTCCCAAGCAAATCGATCAACGTTCACCATTCCAGTTGAAATTCTAGTACTACACTATGTTTGTTTTGATTCGCTATGAAATTTTACAGATAAAACGGGAGTTCGTGGATTTTCCTATATTTCAAGGAGTACATCGATTAGCTTGGGACCGAAGATAGTGCCAGAGCTGAGCCAAAAAATTGAACACGTTTCTTCAGGATCTTCTGGTCTTAGTACTACCATAGAGGTAACTCTAAGACTAGAAGGTCCCGAAGAAACGTGCTCAACTTTTTGGCTCAGCTCTGGTACTCTCTTCGGTCTCAAGCTAATCGATTCACCCCTCGAAACATAGGAAAATCCTTCTTCTTCTTCTTCTTCTTCTTCTTCTTCGCATTTCAAGCTTATTGCATATCGCATATGAGCTTATTGCGTGCTCTCAACTTAGTGTTCTAGATGCACTTCCAAAGTTATTAATTGAGAGCTTTCGATGCCTGTACCATTTCTTCATTGGTATTATTGTGTGGCAAGTCCAATCATACTTCTATGCCCAAGGAAGTCGAGAAATTTTCCAACCCGAAAAATTCCTAGACCGGACCGGGAATTGAACCCAGCCACCTCCAGCATGGTCTTGCTTTGTAGCTACGCCTTTGCCGACTGAGCTAAGGGAGGCCCCAGGAAAATCCACTAACCCCTAATTTTATCTGTCAAACTTTCATAGCGAATCAAAACAAACATTGTGTAGTACTAGAATTTCGACTAGAATGGGGTACGTTAATCGTTTGCTTGGGACCAATAGGCTAGTCAAGTAGTGAGCCAATTTAAAATCGTTAGTTTCGTATTGATTGTTGATACTACTTTGTATGTCTGTTGATGGTATTATACTGTTGTCACGTCAGTCATCTAATCACACATAAAATGACACGACTGACCATTCCACATCGCGCCATCAGTTAGCGCTATCGTCCATCGATAACAGAGTGCTAACGATTGTAACTGTCAGCTTCCTGAGATAGCCGCGCCATTAACTGTATCAACTCAGACTGGCACGTGTAGAATCGAATGTAATCATTTGATGATTTCACTCGATCGTCATCTTATCACATTCCCAGTTCAGTGTACATACCTGCAATGCACTTGCTGATTGTTCCGCAGTGTGCCGTTGCTTTTATCATATGAATGAATTCACACCTCAAACAAAAAAAAAACACCGTCCGCCGCACATTACCACTTTTGAACATATTCCCAAAATCAGGGAGGTTTGTTTATTTGAATATCGTTTAACCAAAGTGCTCCTGCTGCTGCTACTTTGTAACACTTTTCCCGTTTGCACTTTGAGAGAACCACCAAAACCAAATCTAGACGAACATGTGGAAAGGGCCACATGGCCCACATGTACACAATCCACGGAAACTAACTACACCATCTGATAGAGTAAAATTTCTCTACCATATGCTGCTGTTGGTTGCGAGAAATCACAGTTACACTTGGCTCGTTTCGCCTTTTCAGATGTTCGGCTAGAAATAACACCGCAGGATGGTTTGTTTATACCACCATGGTGGAAACAGTTTTCCTGCTTGAATCGGAGGATTTCCAATACATTTGGGTATCTGAGGTGGAAAATTTGGCACATTCCTAACCTGTCTAGTAAAAGACATACGGTGGCATCGGGTTGTTACACTTTTGACTGCTTGACCGTGACCAGTTTGTTTACTTAGTTTTAGTTATACATGTAATTGATTTGAGATTTTGCCTCATTACCCTTAACGGTCTGTCTATATGGTCAGGTTGATGGCTTGTTTTGTCGGATGACTCAAACTTCAAGCTAGCTCGTCTATCAAAATAATGACACACCCCAAAAAGGACTGATTATCGCGCTCGTGCATAAAATCAAACGAAAGATGCTCATCTTTCTAGCAGCACACTTG